GGGTGGTTGGTCGGTGGGAGGCGGAGGGGGGGGAACAATGGCAAGGCGGCCGACAAGGCGGAAGCGGTGCAGTGCTGTCGGCTGCGGACGGGCGGCGCTCCGATTGCACGCGTCCACAAACACGGCACTCACCCTGCACAGGCGACGCGTACGCACGTGTGCGCGCGCGCGCGCACACACACACACACACACACACGCACACACACACAAACACACACACACACACACATGCACACACACACACACGCACGCACGCACATACACACACGCACTCACAAACACACAACATACAACACACACGAAACACACACACACTCAAACACACATGCACATGCATGTGCGCACCTCTTCCAACTGCGGTATCGTCAGCGCGCTGGGGATGTCTTGCTTGTTGGCCAGAATCAGCAGCGTCGCCCCGAATAGCCGCTCCTCCTGCAGCAGCCCCCGCAGCTCGTCGCGGCAGTCGGACAGGCGTGCCAGGTCAGCAGAGTCCACCTGGGGGCGGGCATGCGCCGGGAGGTCGGTCAGAGAGATAGAAGGCATGAGGTGTCAGCAGTTCTTTCCAAACGTCTGCAAACGAAAGGAAGCAGGAAAGTGTTGTCATGAGTCAACGCGATTGGCTTGACTGAGCCACCGGCCTGCAACTGGTGGCGGTTCTTTCTGAGCAAGGCGGCCGCACAGCTGGCTCCGCCTGCTGCAAAACGCGACGCAGATTCGTGGCAGAAGGGAGGCGGCGCAGCCGCCGCGGGCGCCGCCCCCCGCCCCGGACGCGCGCGGCGCGGTGCGTCCCGCCGCCTCCGCCGCGTCGGCCCTTGCCCGCGGGTTGCTGCCCGTGTGCGCGGTCCGGGCGCCCCAGGGCCCGCCCAGATTCAGGCAGCGCACCACCCAGATGAGGCCGTCCGTCTTCTCGTAGTAATTTCGCCAGTAGGGCCGCAGCGTCCGCTGCCCGCCCACGTCCCAGATGTTGAGCTTGTAGCTGCGCAGGGGCGCGGCCGGCGCGGCCGTACGCGAGGGGTGGGGGACCGGCGCGTTTGTGTGTGTGTGTGTGTGGGGCGGGGTGGCGTGGGGGAGGGAGGGTGGGCTGACAGCACTGGCTGCGCCAGGGTGTGCTGCTGGTTCCACAAAGGTCCAACGCAGCAGGCAGCTGCCAATGCGCTGGCCTGCCTCACAAAATTGTAAAATCGGCAGCCCTCAGGCGCTTGGCAGAAGAGAGCTAAAATCTGGACGCCCCCCACCCGTTGAAGTCCATCGTTTTGATGTTGAATCCGAGGGTGGGGCTGATTGTGCTGATGTCCTCCCCGTTGAGCCGCTTCACGATGGTCGTCTTGCCGGCGTTGTCCAGGCCGCTGCAGGGGAATGCACACCCGGGTTCTGAAGGGCAGGTTCTGGCAGCCCCCCCGCGATTTTGGGGAGGGCGGCGTGCCAAGTGTTGCGCAAGCGCATTGCGGCGACGGACTGTGGAGTGGCTGTTCTAGCGGGACCTGCTGCAGTCGAAATGATGTACTCACACCATCAGCAACCGCATCTCCTTCTCCTTGGCCTTTATCTTCTTTACAATTGTCAGAAGGCCCTGCGCAGATCAGCAGGACGTCAGCTTTACTCCCTAAATTAGGCTATTTACGAGTTCTATATCCTACTGCCGAATCTTCATCGCTCACCATCGTGCTGCACTGCGACCTCCACTCCCAGATCGATCTGGCGCGATGTATGCACGGTCGTTGCAGGACAGCGGCAATCAAGGAGGAAAGGTGCTTGCGACGCTTGTGTGCCAATATGAATGAGTGAGGGGCAAGTGGCATGGGCATAGAGGTGTGCTATGTCCCTTGAAGCCCCACTGCAATCACTCCGTCACCCAACCCGTCGCTGACAGCGTGCACCCTTCATGGCAGTGACTGCAAGACCAGCAGCCGCTGGGGCAGCTACACTTGCTGCAGAGCCACGTCTTTGCTCAAAGGTCCTCATTTCACCACTGCCTTCAGATGCAGATCCGGAACGCTTGACATGCTTGGCAAGAGTGGTGGAGGCTGACATGACAGGTTGCCTCGGGACACACGCTTGGCACAGGGCTGATTGGCATGGTGACAATCAGAGCAGACGTCTCATGCAAAGTTGCTGAAAGTGTGGGGGAGTGGCGTGACGCTGTATGACGCAGAATTGTGCCAACAGATCAACACCAAGATTCCATGTCTTGCATGGCAGCAGTCGTAATGCGTTTTGCCCTTGCGTACATACCATCCAACACACTGGCAAACGCGTGTTTCCACATCAGAAGTTGTTGCCTGGCAAGATCTGCAAAGCCTTGGTGATTGATTTGCCTAGCTCTGTCAACGTGTGCGCGGGAAGTCATCTTTCTTTTGTCCTCAGCAGTAAAGCTGATGGTGTTTTGCTGACCTGTTGCAGCTGGCGCCAAAAATCTACTCGCCAACACAAAAAAGGTAGTGTTACCGTGGGCAGCCTTAACCTTTGTGCTGGGCTGGTAATGGCAGGTTTCCGCTGCAAGAAAACACATAAGTGAAACTGCAACGGCTCGCATGTATGTACGATATCACCGTGTAATATACACCCATTGCACCATCTAATATACAACCATGGCGGCAAGGAGTTGGCTCACCAGCTATACCGCCACACTGCATAATAACAGAACCACAGTCCCAATCCATCAAATCCCAATGCCATTCGTTGTTGCTGGGGCCAACAGTAAATCGATGATAATCTGTGCATATGTATGGCCATGCACACCGTGTCACGCGTGGAGATAGTGCACGCAGCTAGCTCGGTCAAATCGGGATTGCGCGGTCAACACGGCCGTACGTCCGGACCGGCGCCGACATCAGCCTACGCCCTGTGCGCTTTGATGCCACATAGGTCAGGGCACCCACAGGCCACGCCACCTACGGGCAGAGAGTTGAGCGGAGCAGGAGTTGTGAGGCAGGGGCAGGGGCATGGGAAGGATATGGCATGCAGCAGACCTGGAGCGCGCCGAGTGTGTCCCCACTGGATGCGGCAAGGCGATCAGGGGCAAGTTATCGTGGAGAGGTGCAGCAGTACGGCATTTTACAAGGTTTGGGATGGTTGAGCTCTGTGAGCATCCCTCAGTTATGGGGACTTTGACAGAGGCTGCTAGTCTGGGTGCCCAAGCGCAAGCAACCTACCACTCCAACGACAAGCCCGACGACAGCACCCAATGTGGGCCCCACCACCTGCACAATCAGGCAAGAAGAGATGGGGGCCCCTTGTCAGGTCTGGGAGCTCGGTTGGGGTGTGCGCCGCGCAGGGTCTTGTGATGCGTTGCTACCGGCCCAGTGTTGCGCCCCGCCATGGCGCCTGCGTCCCGCCGCACCCAAAGCGGCCCGTGCTGCGGCACGCTGCGGCCCACCTTGCAGCGGCAGGGGTTTTGGTGGGTGCCGACCTCCACACAAGCAAACATGGCTGCTGCTGGTCGGTGGGGGAAGGGGATGCAGCTGGCTGCCTGCGCTGTCACACTTTGCTGCGTTGAACACGTGAAAGCTGCTGGTGGGTGTGCGGAAGTGTTTTTGTGTGGGTGTGAGTATCGGCTGACTGTGAAGGGTTTGTGTAATGTGCAGAATGTGTTGTGTTTGCGGGCTTTTGAAGCAAGGAGACAGCGCGGCAAGCAGGTGCATGTCATGCCGTCAGCACGACTCATGCCGAGCAGGTGGCAGTCACTCATTGCCGTGCAGCAAGCACCGTGCCTGTGTGCACGTGTGCGCATTGACTGTTTTACAAGTCCATACTAGCTGTTACCTTGCTTGTCGCCTTGCGCGCTTGTCGCCTTGCGCGCTGCACAGGATTGCATCGATCTGTGGTCGAGGCTTTCTGAGTTTGTCTTCGCACGTGGACGAGTGTATGTATCAGCAGCAGCTGCTTTTACATCATCGATAAGTGGCAGCAGCGTCCATGGCGACTGAAACCAAGTGCGGACAGAGGATCACCGCACGCTGTTCTACCGGCATGCGCGTGCTGCGCAGCGTTCCGCCGCGCAATGCAGCACGGCGTGTGGCTCAGTGGCACGTGGTCCTCCCTGCATACCGTCAGGTTCAAAATTTACACAAAGACGGGGGACAGCGGCACGTCGTCCCTGTACAATGGCGAAAGGCGGCCCAAAGGTGCGGCGGCCACCCAGACGCCACCCCTGAGCCTGCCCGCGGCGGCACCGCTGGGCCCGCCAACGTATCGCCCCCAGATCCAATAACCGTGATCATTCAGCAGCCGTCCCGCCAGCCCAATCCAGGGACGCCTTGCTCCACCTCTTGGATGCCATGCGACCCCCAGCAACCACCTCACAGCATCGCCACCAACCTCCCTTGCACAACGGGCCCAACTCCCCCTGGGCATCACGGCCCTCGATACGCAGAAGACCAGACGTTTGCGGCCCTAGGGGATGTGGACGAGCTGAACAGCGCCCTTGGGGTGGTGGTCGCATTCTGCGACTACGACCACTTGAGGGTCCAGTCCCAGGTGCGGCGCGGGCGCGGCGCAGGCGATAGCCCGCAAGCGTGTTCTGCCGGCTGCTTGCACGTCGGCGAGAGATCGAGCAGGCGCTCGGCCGTTCCGACTGGCAGATCTGGGAAGCCGCAGCCGCCGCCGGCCCCCTGCCCGCGCCGCTTCGCAGATCACAGAGCTGCAATCGCGGCTGTTGGACGTCGGCTCGGCGGTCGCGACGCCGCTCGAGGCTTCGTCGGAAGCCAAGCGGGCGCGCGCTCGGTTCGACCCCGCGGCGACGGCGCAGCTGGAGGTGTGCGGGCGTGCGGCCGCGGTCATGTGGGGGCGGCCAGTCGGACAGGGCCACACAGCAGCTCGAGGGGTTGCGGCCCCCTCGACGATCCGCGAGCCTTCTGTCCTGCCACGGGCTTCGCCCAAGGGATACGCTTTGGCATTCCGCAGGATGCGACTCCAACCCCTCCCCCATAACCCCTTGCGCCTCAAACTTTGAGGCGCGTGTCCTCAATCCGCATACGGTCAACGCTGGTGCAAGCAATCAAAACGCGCTCGTCCATGCCACGGCGCATCTCCAGGTTTGGATAGACGAGCTGGATGCGGAGCTGCCGCCTCTCAGAAACTTCATCCTGCCCTCTGGCGGCCAGGCGGCCGCCCATCTGCATCTGGCTCGCTCGGTAGGAGCCCTTGCCGCGGCGGGGCCCCGGGGGGGG